CGGTTTTGTTTTTGAATATTTTCAACAATTCTGAAATACCCAAGAAAATACCAAACGGAAGCTCATGCCAGCCCTCGTCTACAGTGTTTTGGTCAGTCTGCGCATAAATCATACTGGATATCATATTTTCAGATTCTTCAGTGTGGCAATTTGAAATCTCCAGACCTGGTCCCTCCAGATCAATGCAAGTATTCAAGGACAATTTTTGACTTTGTCGAAGGTGTCTCTTTAATAAAGGAACAACGTGATTGGGTACGAAATCAATAAAATTTGCAGGAACATTTGTTGTAGTCCACATTATGTGAAAATATGGACCCCGTCTCGAAGAAACCTCCCTACCCTGGATACTTATTGAATAAGCGGGAGATCGCATGTCTGTTGGGCCGGTAGAAGGCTGAAAGGAGTTGTATGAAACTTTCAATGCGGCGCTAAGAGCCAATAAGCAATCCATCCCACAATGGCTGCCAATTGTCGCTGCACAGTGTAGTACGTTTTTCAGATCCAGAGTAACGATCCTAAAGTCTTTAAGGACTGGATGTAAATTTGTACTCTCGATGTCGTAACACTGGGGATAAGACAGAATTTCAATAATAGTTAAGAAGCGAAGATGAAGGGAATGATCCTGTGTACCAAACAAAGCAAAAGAAACTGCCCGATACAGGCAATTTCCATCACCTATCGTATATATCGGTTCATATTCATCTAAAACCGATGGCGACAATTGTTGTAACAGAGTATTGGACGGTTCATCTAATTCACCCTGAAAATTCCTCGATTCTGGAAACTCAGGAAGCTTTACTTTATGTGCGTCCATCAGCATTTGCTCCTGCTCAGCTATTTCTTTCAGGAATTTATATACATTTTTGGTATCAAAACTCACACGATCAATTTTGTTCATAACTCTTCTCATCGACACCTCGAAATCATAGCCATGGTCAAGAAAAACACAAGATTTACAATAGTAAGATAGATGTTTTTCTCCCCATTGTTGCCGTAATTCGGTTTCTATCCGGGCACAATCGAAATGGCACCAGCGTTCACAACCAGAACATTCAATGCAACCAGTTGAACAATCCAAACCGCAAAACAAGCATTTGTATGATGACTGATACATACCTCGATCCGGCAGAATAAAAAAATCGTTGTGCCAGCGTCGACAAATACAACATGGTGCCAACTCGCAATAAAAAGATACCATACTCATGAATTTTCCCAGCATAAACAATAAATGTGTTTTGCTAAATAAATTCTAAATTATACGCAGTCCAACAAGCACTTTAAAAATGCTATCTTAATTTTTGATAATTTCCTTGTCTCTTTCTTCTTTACGGTATAGTCATACTATGTGGCAACGTTGGGAAAACTAGCTTGGAAATGTCCTTTGTGACGTCACTAATACGGAATATATATTTACAGGGTGGTCCAAGGTTGTCGCCTCGCCGGCCACAAAATTACTTTTGCATTGTTCGCGGGCCACAATAGTGCCAAGAATAGGTAAACAGTGCAATACAAAACAAACACTTTTATTGTGCAAATACATAGTTATCACTCAGACATAGCCATCACAGGCTAATAGAATCCGCATTCGATTTTTAGTTTTCTATGATGCCTACCGTGTTTCCGCGAAAATAAGACAGTGTCTTATTTCAATTTTCTTTCGAAAAATATCACTAGAGCTTATTTTCGGGGAATGTCTTATAATTTTATTCATCAAAAACAAAATTAGAAAGTACAGAATTAGGAGATTTTCAAATAAAAAAAAATATTGAAACCGATATCCATTTACTTAAATGACACGTTTTCCTCTCCCACACGTTTTAGATTAGGTAATCATTTATAACGTATGGGAGAGATTTCTTGCTATCGACCAGGTAAAAAAAAAATTCGCGTTATTGACTAGGTCTTATTGGGGAGGACTTATATTAAAATCAATCCTAAAATTTAGGCTAGGTCTTATTTTTAGGGTAGGTCTTATTTTCGGCGAAACACGGTATATATATTGTTAGCATATATTCCCGAACAAAAAGATAGAAAGCCAGATAACGATTTAGACTGCCAAGCACATCATTCAACTTCGCTAGTTGCCTCAGCTAGCCATAACACTAGTCAATTCAGTGACATTATTGATGTAACAAAATGTCAAAAGTTTTTTCTATTCAATTTTATTACGAAACAACACGAAATGCGATTTTTTGATTACTCTCCGAATGTGACGCGGGCCACAGATAATAAAGCGGCGGGCCACATGTGGCTTGCGTGCCTGGGTTTGGATCACCTTGATATCTACCTTATAGGTAAGTTTTAAACAAAATATTACCTACTACCATTCAATTTATTTTGACATTCTAGAATAGTTGATTTTAAAAATGTGCAAATTTTAAATCAAAATTAGAACTTGAAAAATTGCATCTATAGTCTAGAACAGTGGTTCTTAAACTTTTTCGGGCGCGACCCAAATCTGAGTTTTATGAATACTCGCGACCCAATCCTAAATAACGCAAAATGTGTTTTGAATGTTAGTACAGTTTGACTCAAATACAGACAACTATTTATTAGAAACGGTCCATTGACTCAGTGAGATTGATGAAACTGAAATTTCCTTTTCATTATATCTTCAATACACAGCTCTATTTTACTTAACGCAATACGCAAGTTGTCACTAGTATCGAGGCGATTGCGAGCTTAGTTTTGATAACTGTCAGCGCCAAATATCCTCGCTCGCACAAGTGCCTTGTCGCGAATTGTAGCAGAAAAGGCGTCCGCTGTCCGTCGCAAACACGACATCCTAGCTGCCCTTGCATTGACGACCTTGTCGCGACCCATTTTTAAACCTTCCGCGACCCATGTTTGGGTCGCGACCCATACTTTAAGAACCACTGGTCTAGAATCTAGATACAAAGTAACAGTTGATTTGATGTTAATTTCAAAGTCTCTCTTCTTAACCCTACGTCACAATTGATTTTGTGGTGATGATCATGTTCGATATAAATCTATCAATTTTGATCCGATATTCCAGACATAGCTATTTTAGTTGAAACTAATCGGAATCGCAATTTTAGAACATAGCCATTTAGGACTTTTCCATTTAAGTGGGGACATAGCCATTTTAGTAGAGATATAGACATTTCAGTAGGAATATAGCGGACATAGCCATTTTAGTAGGGATATAGCGGACATAGCCATTTCAGTAGGGACATAGCGGACATAGCCATTTTAGTAGGGACATAGCGGACATAGTCATTTTAGTAGGAAAATATCGGAGTCGCAATTTTAGATGGGACATAGCCATTTTAGTAGGGACATAGCGGACATAGCCATTTTAGTAGGGAAAGCGGACATAGCCATTTCAGTAGGGACATAGCGGACATAGTCATTTTAGTAGGGACATAGCGGACATAGTCATTTTAGTAGGAAAATATCGGAGACGCAATTTTAGATGGGACATAGCCATTTTAGTAGGGACATAGTCATTTTAGTAGGAAAATATCGGAGTCGCAATTTTAGATGGGACATAGCCATTTTAGTAGGGACATAGCGGACATAGTCATTTTAGTAGGGACATAGCGGACATAGTCATTTTAGTAGGAAAATATCGGAGACGCAATTTTAGATGGGACATAGCCATTTTAGTAGGGACATAGCGGACATAGCCATTTTAGTAGGAAAATAGCGGACATGGCCATTTAAGTAGGGACATAGCGGACATAGTCATTTTAGTAGGGAAATATCGGAGTCGCAATTTTAGATGGGACATAGCCATTTTAGTAGGGACATAGCGGACATAGTCATTTTAGTAGGAAAATATCGGAGTCGCAATTTTAGATGGGACATAGCCATTTTAGTAGGGACATAGCGGACATAGTCATTTTAGTAGGAAAATATCGGAGTTGCAATTTTAGATGGGACATAGCCATTTTAGTAGGGACATAGCCATTTTAGTAGGGATATAGCGGACATAGCCATTTCAATAGGGACATAGTCATTTTAGTAGGGACATAGCGGACATAGCCATTTTAGTAGGGATATAGCGGACATAGCCATTTCAGTAGGGACATAGCGGACATAGTCATTTTAGTAGGGACATAGCGGACATAGTCATTTTAGTAGGAAAATATCGGAGTCGCAATTTTAGATGGGACATAGCCATTTTAGTAGGGACATAGCGGACATAGTCATTTTAGTAGGGACATAGCGGACATAGTCATTTTAGTAGGAAAATATCGGAGTCGCAATTTTAGATGGGACATAGCCATTTTAGTAGGGACATAGCGGACATAGCCATTTTAGTAGGAAAATAGCGGACATAGTCTTTTTAGTAGGAAAATATCGGAGTCGCAATTTTAGATGGGACATAGCCAGTTTAGTAGGGACATAGCGGACATAGTCATTTTAGTAGGAAAATATCGGAGTCGCAATTTTAGATGGGACATAGCCATTTTAGTAGGGACATAGCGGACATAGCCATTTTAGTAGGGATATAGCGGACATAGCCATTTCAGTAGGGACATAGCGGACATAGTCATTTTAGTAGGGACATAGCGGACATAGTCATTTTAGTAGGAAAATATCGGAGACGCAATTTTAGATGGGACATAGCCATTTTAGTAGGGACATAGCGGACATAGCCATTTTAGTAGGGACATAGCGGACATATGGGACATAGCCATTTTATAACTACCCCTTAAGGCTGTACGGTAAGGGATGGTTTGCCCCAGATGATAAGAACAAGGTCTTTTGTAAGTTCTGCAGATGGGAATTGAATTCTAGGTTATGATGTTAGCTTCTTCGACATCTAATATTACTGTATTATGGTTACTTTTCATTAAATTAAATGACTTCATAAATACCGGTACCGGTAGATGTTTTATTTTTTAATCTGGATGTTTCTAGATCAATCTAGGTGTTTTTAGTCAGGCAAAAGTGGCTGATCCTGAATACTAGAATACCAATACTTATAGAATAAAACAATGTTAGAATGTGAATTTCCCCAATTCAATATTACATATTTCTTTGAAAATTTAGTTTTGTGTATATATTTATTTATTCTAAGATATAAAAATGCTTCCCCTGTTGATAAAAGGCAACTTTATGCCTGGAATATCTCACACAATTCAAATTATTACCAAGCAAATGCGACCTTTACCAGCTGCAGTAGCATTGAAAGCTCAACTACCTGATGTTGCCCAGAAAGCAGTTACTAAACCACCTTCTGCTGTACCAATGGCAACTGTTTCTATTTTTGGGGCTCCTTCAGTAAGATATGCGCACACTGATGCTGCAGTTCCTGATTTCAGTGCCTATCGACAGAAACTTAAAGATGATGTAAGCGATTTTAGAAAGACAGAAGATGAACGGAAGCTCAGAACCAAGACATATCATTATGCCATTTCAGCTGGAGTGTGCATGGGAGGAGTTTATTTGGCCAAATCTGCGGTAACTATGTTCCTTAAAACAATGAGTGCTTCAGCAGATGTTCTTGCTCTTGCATCAATAGAAATCCCATTGTCCGAAGTTCCTGAAGGAAAAAGCATTACTTTCAAGTGGCGAGGAAAACCTCTTTTTGTTCGCCATCGGTCTCCTGATGAAATTGAGAGAGAAAAAGGAGTTAATGTTGCAGAGTTGAGAGATCCACAGCACGATGCTGAGCGTACTCAGAAGGAAAACTTTTTAGTTGTTATAGGAGTTTGTACCCATTTAGGATGTGTCCCAATTGCCAATGCTGGTGACTTTGGTGGTTACTATTGTCCATGCCATGGTTCTCATTATGATGCGTCTGGTAGAATTCGAAAAGGGCCAGCACCATTGAATCTTGAAGTTCCAGAATATTCCTTCATTTCCGATGATATTATAAAAGTTGGTTAATGACTTATGCCTGACCATTTTTATACATCACATGTTATTGCGAAGTCATTTAGTATAAAAATATAGGGAAATATTGTCAAAATAAACCAGGATTTTGAATTTTGTTATATTTTTGGACTGTTGTAAGTTGTAACTTTATGTTTCCAAGTATTAGAAACACCTCTAATTTAAATAAAGCTGTTTCATGGAATATTGGTTGTTGATTCTTTTCATATTTCAAATTAGTTTCAATTTTGAATATTTATAATTTCTATATTCACTCCTGAATAATATTGTTTTAAAACAACATTTAATCGGAAATTACTGTCTGGAATAATGAGATTAATATTGGAGCAATCTGTTGACTAAATATGAGGTTAAATTATTTTGCATATGATGTATGTATGGATTATATATGTTCCACTCAATGATGTTATTAACAAATGTCTTGTTTAAAATTGGACTTGAATATTAGAAACTCTTGACTTTTCATTAGTGCTTAATTAATATATTGTTTGTTTTTTGAACGTAGATGAATTAAACTATTTCAACCGGCATGGTATTTATGAAATCTGTTAAAATATGACATCTATAATCAAGTTCACAGCACTTTCTGGTGCTCAAAATGAAGAACCAAACTGCTATCTTCTGCAGGTGATTTGTTGTTATTGTCTTTTCATTTGTTCTCTGTGTCTTTTAGGAGCAGTTTTTTTATAATTAGATTGAAAGTTCATGTTCAACGATGTGACCACTGAAACGTAATTAGATTATTTTGCCTTCACAGAGAATGCGTCTAGAACGGGCTTCTCAAACGGTGGGATAATTTTTTGGGGCTGGAAGCTAGGTGAAGGATATTTACATTCTATCCACATAATTTCAACGTGTTTTTTGAATAAAACATACTTTTGCCTACGATCTGTTATTTGTAGCCTATTATTATTAGCTAGTTATTTTTGAGATGGGACATGAGACTCCACACATTTAACTTAAAAAGTTTAGGAACCACTGGATTCTAGAAGAAGCAATGACTTTTTCTCTTGAAAGCAGTCTTGTAAAAATACAAATCTGTAATAAATGTTTCTGAAGCATGTTATCTCCATATCAACAGGTTGATGAATTTACGTTTTTGCTGGACTGTGGTTGGGACGAGTGGTTTTCTGATGGCATTATAAAAAAGATAAAAAGGTAGCTTTGCATTTTTCCTCCAAATTGTATGGAAGTTTTACAGCACTGTGCGCTATCATGGGAAATAGTTATTCAAATGAATCTACTCAATTCAATGATGAAAACAACAACCAGGATAATAAGTGCATTGTATTCAAAGAATTAACAAAATCACAGTCATTTACTTCAAATTAATGTAGTCATGACAAATGATACTTAGTAAAGGCCTTTGCTCATTGCCCCCACATGACCTCTCTGTGGCCCTCTTGGGTGACCGAGGGCCCAATTTAAGAATCTGGGCCAAGCACAAGATGAGATTTCAATGATTGAAGCACAGAAAGCTTGTTGATTTTTCATTGTTTTGAAAATAGCAAGGATGAGAAACATTCATTGTTGTCTTTCGTGGAATAGCCACATATACGACTATTGTGCGACTGTTTTGGGAGCTAGCAGGGCTAGCAACTGATAACAAGTACATCCATATCTAGGGTTCAGCTAGATTCAATGCTAACTTTATCACCATGATCATCTCTTCTCCAGACAGAATTTATTAGAAAGGTTTCGATTTGAATCTCATATTAGCCCTTTTTCTATTGGCACCACTGCTGTGTGAATAGATTTATGAAAGTTTGGGGCATATGGTGGTAATGGGATTGGACACAATATCTTTAACCGCTGATGGCACAATAATTCATTGGCAACACATTGTGACCCTTTTTTTGGGATGCTGAGGTATTCAATATTAATAATCATTTCATTATTTGTAGGTATTTGAGCCAAATTGATGCTATCTTACTTTCATTTCCTGATCCTCAACATCTCGGCTGTTTGCCTTATCTTGTTGGAAAAGTTGGATTGACTTGTCCGATATATGCAACTGTTCCCATCTATAAAATGGGGCAAATGTTCATGTATGACTTATATCAGGTATTCTGCAACAGAGGATTTGCATTTTTCTGCCTCATTCCTTCATCATTGCTTTGTAAGAGTTGTAAATTTAATTTAATGGCTGAAGTCAGTCGGGGAACAAATATAGCTAAAGTTATATTTATCCTGTTCAGGTAATCGGTGCACAACTGCACATCGTTTAAGAATTCATAGATTATCCCACAAAAATGCCATTTTCATGGGAGTCAACAATGCCATTGTTAGCATTATTCCTGATGCTCTGCATCACTATACTAGGTACAACATTATTGAGTTTTCTTCAGAACCAAATGGAGAGAAATAAGGCCATTGTTTGGTATATATTTCACTTATGTTATTTGTGATAGGGTGAAATAATTTATCACTCCTCAATTTTATCATGCAAGTTTGCAACTGGAGAATCAGATTTGATAATGATTGGGATTTGCTGGATATTTGTTATTATTGTAAATTTAACAATGGTTTTTCCAGTCTCATCACAACACCGAAGAATTTGATAAATTTACACTGGATGATGTTGATATGGCATTTGATAGAATCACTCAACTCAAACATAACCAAACTTTAACTTTGAAAGGTGAGGTGTAAATAAATTTTGTAGTAAAAAGGCCTTGATATTCTTTTCATACCACAACATTCCCAGATATATTTGTCTTTATCGGTGATAAACAATGGTTCATGACCCCACAATGTACATGTACCGTATATCAAATTGCCTGAGTAAATGAGAATGTTCTTTTTTTCCTCCACACAATGATTTGGTCTCTGTCTGAATGGTTGTTAGTCCATAGATGTAAAACAGTAGAAACTTTTTGAAACTAAAAACGTGACCGACTACTACTGGTAATTGTTTTTGTTTACTTGGTTGCTTGTATGTAGGACTTTCTGTCACTGTCATTTGAATAAATGATGTAATCACATTAGTTAATTTTGAAATGATACATTTTTTGATTATTTTCTTAAAATACATAGACTACAGTCTACAATACAAAAAAGTATGCTTCCATAAACAAGTGGCAAAACTAGAATTGAGACGTGAACACCAAATTCGTAAATCAGTGCAATTACGTAACATATGTGTTTATTAATCACCGTTTTAAAATTGATTATTGATATAGTGTCCACATAATGGTAGAATTTTCAAACGAACAAAATTTCGAGTAGTGAGGGCCTTCAGTGACAGTTGGAGACACCTCAAATATAATTATGGAGAACATGAAAATAACCAAAACTTGAAACTGTTCATGCAGAACTTTTATTTCTATGTACGGTTTAGATAAAGGTCACGGCTTATCAATAACCCCCATACATGCTGCTCATATTATTGGAGGGACGTCATGGAAGATAGTCAAAGCTGATGAAGAAGGAGAAATCGTTTATGCAGTTGATTTCAATCACAAAAGAGAAAGACATTTGAATGGTAAATTACGACTTAGTCGGTCGCAGCTCGTATGTAATCTTTATAAACTTACACTATGAATGAATTGCATGCCGATTTAAGTATATCAGGTTGTAGACTGTGTTGTTTGTTTTTGAGAAAATAAGAGTATCCAATAAATTTTAAGTAATTTAAGTAATTACGGTAGATCCTTGCTAGTAATTACAATTTTGTTGTAATCTTGTACGCTTCTGTAAGGTTGTACTCTTCTGGAATCAGTTGGAAGTGGTGGCAATGGAGGTAGAGGCGGAATAGCTGGTTCAGTGTGCCCTCCTCAACTTCTTATTACTGATGCCTACAACGCTTCATATCAACAAGCAAGAAGAAAGTTGAGAGATGAGGAACTTTTGAGTATGTACTTCAGTCATTTTCGACAAATTATCGATGTCTTTCAGTGTTATATCGGATTCATGTAAAAATTGGTGCATTTCTTTATATAATATTCTCAGATTTTTCTTTCTTTCGCTGATGGTCTTCAAATTGCTCTGGAATGAACAATGACTTGGTTCTGAATGCTTTATGTTCTTGTTTATTTTTCAGCTAAAATTATAGAGACCATGAGATCAGATGGGAATGTGTTGATTGCAGTTGACACTGCAGGACGAGTTCTTGAACTTGCAATATTATTGGTATGATAGACAATTTTAATTACTGCCCAGCATACATATATTAAAACTGAGTATAACCTTTACAGCAGCAGAAAGTTTACCTTGTCCACTAGATGTCACTGTTAATCAAGGTTCTGGATAGTCTATATTTACTTAGATTCTTCAATTATGATTCATTGAGGAAAAAATTTATTTGGAGCTTACTTTTTCTTCTGTACAAAGGCAATGTATTACTGTCTTTTGTTTGGAAAAAATGCAACCAATCTGGATAGCTGTATTGACTACCATATGCTGCTTGCAACATGCATGACATTTACATCTTTAAATCCTTATGAAAATTAAATTATTTTTTCATAATTCAGGATCAGTTATGGCGAGACACAAGATCAGGCCTACATGCTTATTCCCTTGCTATGTTAAACAATGTAACATACAATGTTGTGGAATTCGCAAAGTCTATGGTATGTGCTCCGTTATGTCATATATATAGTGATCTATATAGTACAGATACATTGGGTATTACTCTCCAGTCCACATTTAATTAGGTAGAAAACAGGCTTGCTTCTTGCTTGCATGAATAATTCATTGGGACTCGAGTATGATTCAAGAAAAATGAACACTGTGATGAGGATTAGGTTATATGATTTTTCATGTTTTATCGGGAGTGAAGAAGGAGTTATCTGGGCTCAATAACCATACAGATAATCACAGCCTTTATTTGGTTCACCAGTCGGACATGGTAGGGCCGATAAGGGCCAACAAGAGGTAATAAGATGGCGTGATCATGTGGCGAACTAAGGCCTCTCATCTGGTTACGAGTCCAAGTTGGGTATGGCATTAGTTAGCCAGTTATTTGTTTTCGGAGGTACGGACATGATGGTAGAGGAAGCCGTATGAATGCAGTAACGGATAACCTATTACCAAACTGTCTTTTCGAGTCTGGGTTTATGAATGGCTTAATTCCTAGTGAAATACTGTGTTAAAATAAAACACCAGTAAGTATGCATCATATGCGATTGTGTATTTGGAGCAAGTTTAAAGTAAAGTAAATCTTCAAGTTCAATTTAGGAATAATGGAAAATTAAAAAAGAGATTCATGCCAAGGGTTGTATTAGACTTGACACTAGCAATTAATCAGGTCTTCATTCAAATAACATTCTTGATTGTAAATGTTATATTGGTTTATATTGAAGCTTTACAATATAGTGTGTTTGCATTTTAACACAGGCATCTTATATCAAACCATGACATTAAATATTCAACGTGAATTGCAGTACCTGGTATAAATAAGCTTGATAATTTGTGAGGTGTTTGCATCCTAATTTCATGCTCGGATAAAGGCACTGTCTTATTAAAATTTCAATGCCTATACATTTATGTGTGCTATTTTCCATCAGTATACCAGTATATTTTTAAGTTTAAATGTAATGTAATAGTTGCATCATTGGCAGAATATGAATGTAAAAATAAAGAGCGTGATACTATAAGTTGATTGTATTTTCAGAAATTGTTCTTTTTATAGTAAACTCCTCACTCAAAGGTGAGGGAGTCGCGGAATGTCTGTGAAATGTGCTTTCTTCTTCACTCTCTATTTCTTCTACATTGTAACATGTTGACAATTTAGGCTGTTTGTGACTGCCGAAAGTTGCTGGTGGTAATTTCAAGTCAAAATAGCTCAAGGAACTTTCAACATCTTTTTCTTCTTTGGCTAAGTTCGAACACATCCCATCATCTTCTGCATGTTCGAATGTGTTATTATCATCAGCCCCATCTATAAATAAATCTGAAGATGACAAGCTAGTCTCATCATTATGTTCTTCATACTCTGAATCATCATGAATGTGAGCCGGAGGTTCGTTAGCATAATAAGGAACTCTTGTAGATGATGTATACGTATCTGACAAATATGAAGATCGAGAAGATGGAATAAAGTCTATACCTTTGTATGGCTTCTCTCGTGCCAAACTACTAGTAATAGATACTGTTCCACCACAAGTGCTGCTATTAGAGCCGTCAGAATCCGGCAAATCTGTTCTATATGTGCAAGTGCTAGATCGCCTTGGACCTACACCAGTGACACTACTACTCATTCTGGATATTGTGCTTTGATCAGAAGAGTCTTGTTGTAAGACACTGTAAGCTGATAGACGAGCATGTTTATTTTCTTCGTATCTGTTGGCAGCAATGGCCATGGAGGGTTCGTAAGACTTTGATTTTGGTAGATAGTGGTGGTAGTATTCTGTGGTATTTCGATCATCCTGTTTGTCGACATTCTCGCTATTTTGCTTATAATGTTCTTGTACTTCGTATATGACACGGTTTTGATCGTTTTCGTGGTTTAATTTATTTGCTGGAGTATTACTGTGAGACTCTGTCTGATACACGTCCATTTCGAATGGTGTAGGCTCATCAAAATGTAAATAACTACTTTTCAGTTGAGACAGATCTTTCGGTGAATTGGAAGACGACGAACTTCTTGACCCTTCCGTATCTTGCGGGTGTTCTTCCCTTGGCAGGGTCAAATTGAAATCTAACCTCTCGAAAGTCTTTTCTTCTGGATTCTTGGCGATGGATGCGGCGTGAGTCATTCGTTTTCTGCTGATATAGAGCCACAGTCCGGCAGATATAATAATTCCAAATAATAAACCTATAACTCCACATATGGCTCCAACTATCGGAATGATATCGATAGAATCGCTATCATCGCTCGATGCGTCGTCTTCCGTCGTCGTTCGGTTTTTGGTAATTGCATGGTGATTTGCATAAAGCGGGTACGTTTTGGTCACAGGCTCAAAAGTTGTTGAGACTTGTTTCATGGTCGTGATGTCAATTTGGTCGAAATTTGAGGGTCCTGTTGTAATTGACACTTTTGTTGTTTCGTGCGACCACTGTTCGGTGGTTTGCGAATCCCAGTCTCCACTTGCCTCAAAACCAGTAGCAATCGTCCCTTCTAGTGATCGACTCGGATAAAATATGATTAATAATAATATTACCCACAATGGTTTGTTGCGCCATAATCTTAGGTATTCGACTTTCCGCATATTTATCTTTAAAATTTAAAACGCCATTGAGTATGGATGATATGTAATATAAAAACAATCTGGAAAATAAGAATTTTTTTTAATTTCTATGTATCATCAGTTTGAACTCGGGCCGCTGTAAACTTCCAGTCATTCGCTACATTGTCACTTATGCGACAAACTGATTGTAATATTAATATACAATCTTCATTCGTCTTTGTAATCAACATTCATTTTTCTATAAACAATTCATGACCAGAGGCACGAAGAAGCGTCTGTGCTAGTCAGATTAAACGTCAGCGGGGTTAAATCAACCGGTTATCTTGCCGATGGCACAACATTTATTTAACGACACGATATTGTTTTAATTTTTGGATTATGCATTATTATTTTAATTTTGGAATTATGAATATATTTTATGGAAACTTTATCCCCAATTCAACAGTAAGTCACTTTCTGGGTATCCTAAAATAGATAACTCGATTCAAAAGTCCTATTTCCACGAAGATAGTTACGTTTAAATTAAGCTTTATTCACTTTCGCTAAGGTAATAATCCTTCTGAAATTTAAATCTCTACATTAGTACTGGTTGCGCCTACCATCTCATTTCTCTTGAGTGCTAACTTAGCCTGAACTGCTCGCACCACAATGCTGCTATTTTATGCTACTATGTTTTTCAAACCGAAATAAGCCTTAGAAATGTTTTTACAAGCTTCTGTAGTTGTGGCGTTAGTACTAATGAATTAGCCACTATAAAACATCGCTGGCGTACGCGTGCTATGTTGTAGTTATCATTGGTGTCATGTACTTGACGTGGCTAACGCGATTCTACGACATTCTAAACTCCAATACTATATCGCTTAACTGAATTCAAACTTGTTTGTTGTTGCTCGCATCTTAGCTTCTGCACTTTCTAATTATTAATCTCACTAACCCAATGTGGCGCCTGCGCTGAAGCCTAATTTTCGGCTTATAGATAACGTAATTTAAAACCACATTATCTTATTCGGAGATCCCATTGTGGTCGAAGAATAAGCTCAAACTGTGAGTGCTAATTTTGGCGATAAATGTCCCACAGCGAAGCTGAAGGATGTCGCGCTTTTCTTATCTGCGCAAACTTTCTTAATAACAGCTAGGTTCGAAATGATTTCACGCCGAGTGAGATTAATTGTCGCTTACTAACGGAGTTTATTTCACGCGCTAAATGCAAAAATCTTGCGCCAGTATAACCTAGAGTTATACACGTATTATAATTAATTGACTACCATTCCACGCAAGAACAATAATATTCAAACTATCACACGCTGCTATATTTATGTCATGTGCGCCTCACGTTTTTCTGCTCGTTTTCTAGATCTGTGTGTATCATCCGCTCCAAAATGATGGACAGAATTTCTTGTTTAGTCTGCATCATTGACCATATTGAAAATCTAAAATAGTTGTTATATGATTTAATTTCCTTATGCTTTCGCCAAATTTCCTTGTTCATACTGCTACTAGTACTAACTTGCCGTTGCCACTAATGATTTTGCCGCTTGATTTTGATATTGCGTTATTAGAGTAACACAAAGAAGCATTTCAGACGTTGACTTGATTCACTCGTTTTAATCTTGGCATTGACATTCATGTTTTCACATTTAAAGAATTATTTAATCCATAAAAAAGGCCTAATGAACGCAATATTATCTGCTTCGCGCTCTCGCATTTTCTCATTCTTAGACAAATGTGTAGATTGCGGGTTGGTGTACCTTAACTGTGTACAGACTTAGGCCGACGAGGCGTTACGACACCTCTCGGTTAAATATAATAATTGACTCATGTAGCACGCCTGGCCTTGTAACGTCTCAAAAAGTATGTGCGATACATATATGGTTTATGATGACGTCTATACGACGAGCTCAAACCAGAGTTTATCTTCCCGATGAAACATGGAGATATCGGTCGCTCAACCGTAGAAACGCACCCATATATCATAGCGTATCGGTATCAGTCTCGATATCTAGTAGCACCTTTTGAATTTTTAAATCTACCACAACTTTTCTATCCATTTTCAATGTTTAATGTGCTCGCTCTTTCGACAGCGTGGTTAAATAATATACAGGATCTCGCAATTAGATATTTGAGCTATTTGGCCTTGCATGCTTCTTGTTCTGTGGCGATTCTGTATTTTACGGGACATACTTAATGCACTTTAATGTAAAAACTGTTTGGATACCTACTTATATAAATGCGTATATTTCTTTTAAAACTATTCCAAGGCGCATATTCTGGAGGCTATCTTAGCTTTCCATATAATTTTGGTCATGCTTTAACCGGACCAAACGATAATTATAATATTTGCGCAGAAAATTCTAACCTGCTCTGTTTATAAATTCTCCATAAATGCTTCGGTTTAATTTATATAAGTAAAATATTTGTGAAGTATACAGTTCCAGATGCAA